TTAGACTTGGTTCAGATAAGAGGACTGGGGAAAACAAGGCATGTATGCTTTGTACCTTTACTTTTATTAAGGGTTCCAAATTATCCACAGGTTAAACTTTCTGTATTCTACTCCATGGCCAAAAAAAAAAAAAAAAAGACAGAAGATAATGTCTGTAAATCACAACATCTTTTAAAAAAATTAAACTTGCTACAAAAATAAGCCCTTAATTGATAAATTTTCTATTCGGGATGCTCATATACTTTATATGTTGACAATCACTTAATTTTTAGTAGGTATCATCAGATAAGGACTCCAAATAAAATAGAATATCATTGTTAATGTACCTATTTGCCTATTTTCATGACTGTATTTCTTTACTTAATCTGAGGCCAGGAAATAAAGTTCTAAAATAGACAGGAAGTAGCCTGCACTAATGGAAATCAGCTCAAATCCTTTTACTGTTTTAGTTCAGCTTGAACTAAGATTGTACATAAAGCTTTAGTCCTATCTCCTGTATTTAGCTTATGATGAAATATTAGAGGGCAGAAAGATGGTCCCTTCCTTGCTGCTTTTCCTTTTCCCATTCACCCACCTATGCATCTATGTAACATCTTTACCCATCTACCCATCCTTCAACCCATTTATGTATGTATAAGCATGTATATATGTATCGAGCTCTGTCACTTAAATAATTTTAAAATGAAAGATCACATCCTCTATGAACCCAAAGATATGCCTACTTATCCTTACTAGGTTCTAAGAAACACCAATCTGTCTCTAAAATAGAACCTTTCATTAATAGGTTATGAATGTCACATGTAACTGATGTTTTCTAGCCTGTAGTTTGTGACCACTTGAAATTAACAAGACCTGATCTCTTTGTATTAAGATTTACCTGAGTACACTTATGAGTTCCTTGTGAGGCCCCAAGGCACAAGTGAGTGTGGATGTACACGTTTGTGCAGAGAGCAAGATAACATGGCATTTTATTTGGATTTGTATTGAGTTTTATAAGACTTACATTGATATGTAAATATTTTATACATACTACAATAGAGCCAATATGTCATTTTTGTCACACAAAAGTAGCAATTTCTAGCTCTACATTAGCAGTAAAACTTGAAGGTCTCAAAAACCAAAGAGCTATTCATTAAAACCAACAAAATTCTGTTGCTTGCAGTCTCTAGCTCAGTTTAGAGATACCTGTGTGGCCTGGTGGTACAATTATATCAAAAGCTTCTTAGCTTTCATGGATCTTTACAAGAAATGCATGTTGTGTGTGAAAGAAATGGCCCCTGATAACTATCAGTGTAATCGGATTGTGATGAAATCTGAGTGAGAAAACTCTGTATTGCTTTCATCTCTAGTTAGTCTGCATCTAGCTACTTTCTGCCCTGACGTGAAGGGACGTTTTCATGCACTGATCATCAGGAAATGTTAGAGCATTAGCAAGCAGGACAAGCATGACAAATGTCTGTCTTTCTGGGGAGATAACATTTTCATCAAAGCTATGTACACATCATATTTTCCCAAATATTTGTGGCACAGTTCATCAAACAGGGTATCTTCCCCCGCTCCCCACCTCCCAGTTCGGCTGCTTCAAGATGCAACGACCACCAAGTCATAATACACAAAGAAACCATGAGCCAATCAAGAAAGAGAAGCCTGCCCCCAGGCTTAATTCAGGCAAGCCATTCATCAAGCTGATGTGATGGACCTGTCCAATCCAGAACATATCACAGACACATCAGCAACACCAAGTGGCATGCAATGACCGGATGACCAAAGGCCCCTCTGCCATGCTTCGATTGGTTCAAGCTCAGGAAATGCTCTCCTTTGAGAGTTCAGACAGTTGGCTTTGCATAAATCAAAGTGAGATTAGAAACAAAGATTTGGTGAGGTCAGGTGATTACCAAATGTTTCCTAAATGCCAAGAAAAGAGGTTCACCTATTCCCATTAAATTTGTCAATGAGACTAGAAAATTACCTAGTCCAGCCAGGTCTTTTTCTTTTGGGGAAATCTCTGCCCACACCAGATGGTCTTCATTCTGGAGGTCAACATTCAGAGCCTCTCAGGTTGCTCCAAGATAATCAGCATGTGATCATTTAACCAAGAAGATGATGGGCAGGGACTTACAAGGTGCCCATTAAGGACCTTCTGGACAGTCCTGAGGTTACTGGAGTTCAATATTTTTCAAAGGTCCCTGAATCTTTGATTTGATGGGGGCTTAATTTGTGCTGATAAAAGCTAAAATCCTACCAACTGGGGACATCAAACTTCTTTTGCTTTTAAGATGTCTGATGAGTGAATCTGATGATTACAGGGAAAGTTTGTTGCTGTTTCTCTTTTGATCAACTGGCAACCAGTGAGCATTACCAAAATGTTCTCAGTGCCTGCTGATTTTACTTCCTATTTTGAAGAAGTTTCTTTGTGTTAAGTTTTCGTTTGTTGTTCTGCCTGCCTCCTAGAGAAGAGGAACTAAGATTCTATCACGACTGATGCTATACAGTGATGATATAAAAATCATTGGTTACACTATTGCTTTTTCTGAGATAAATTCTAGGTATCGGGCATTTTAAGATTGAAAGCTATTCTGATAATTTCACATTTTCCCCTAAATGTGTCTTCCATAAAACAGTATTCCTTCTCAATACCCGCTTATTAAGAATAAAAGGAAGTAGCACCATTTAATAGCGACATTTAAAAAAAATTAGTAATACAACTTGAAAGATTGTCTTTTGTCTATTAACTTATTACTAAATTTACTTCCATGAGTAATTCCATATGTGGCAAGTGTCTTGCTTATGATAAAATTAAATAGGGATAGTTATCAATTTCCACAGCAACCCCAAAGCCCCAATGTGCAAATTTCTCTAATGAACACGAGGGAAATTAAATGGACAAAATTATAGTTAGTTGGTTTCTTAAGCAACCTACAGCTCTAAAGTAGGGATCGCAGTTATTATAGATTCACCAATCCAAGAACAAGGGCAATCTTTCAGTGGGACATACTGCCAATGAGAAATCTGAATAATATCAAAATAACAGATTTTACACATATGGTGCTCCAAAATGCAGAAATATCAAAATTAATTTTTGGATGAATGCAAGTAGAGATGGCCAGATTCTCAGGTAATTCTAATAGTATTAAACAAACAGTTTATTTTTTTAAATGTTGAGATCAGTCTTAGTGAAAGGAGGCAATTTAAATTATATCTTTGTAATTAACCTTTTTTTCCCTCAGCTTGGGATGGATGCGTTTATACTGAAAAGCAAGATAAATATTCAAAGAAATCCGTTTTTAAGATTTTTATAATTATACAGCAGGCTAAAGTTACTATGATTATAATTATACAAAGTGGGCGTTTGAGAATTTAGCATCTAGAGATATTTTCATAAAAAATAATTAAGGGTTGCAGCTGAACCACACATTACAATTGATAGTTTTGTGACTCTTCAGTGAAGAATTTAATAACATTGAGCCTTTTCATTTCTGGAATGATCTTGAGTAGCTGAAGATTGTCATTGTTTTTATTAGCCTTACTGATCCTCTCCATTAATCCAGTGTCAAAGTGGGTTGAAGATGACAACTTACTTGAAACACATTTTGCATCTTGGCAACTGATTTCTGGGTAAATGGATTATTTATTTAGAACCTTGTCTTGACCATTGTCTGGATTTCTCTGAAGGCTCCCTACAGCCTTGGGAACTTGTTACGGCTGCTCATAAGAAAGTAACACCTGCATAGAACCAGACAGCAAATTTCAACTCCATCTTGCCAAAGAGCCATTTGTTATAAGTGTATGCATGGGGTTTTCAAAGTGCAGATTTTAGAGTTCAGGGATGTATTCTGCTTTATTATATTGCAAGAATTCTGTAGCTACAATTAGCTAACAACACATCTCGTGAGAAATGGAATGGAACTGCAGAGAAAGCACACCACAGCAAACCGAGGTAGGAACTACATCACAACAGGCCGGGTAGGAGGACCAGAGGCTGCTGACACTTCCCATTCGGCAGTCAAATACATCGCCTGCTTACCTGTCTGACCCAGCATGCCCCAGCCACACATGCAAATTGTTACCATTGTTTTATTCATGAAACATATCTTTAAAAGAAAGGAGTCATTACCAAAATAAGCACCCTCAATGACATTTGTGCATGCACAGCATCTGGACATTCACATTTACGTCCTCGGAAAACAGAGCCAAGAAGTTGCATTCAATATGAAAACACACACTTTGCTTTGCTTTTTCAAGGCAACCATACTAAAATAGCTACGGCTGGCTGTTTCAGGAACCAACTCCTCTGTTAAGCCTGAGTAATAGAAAACCCTCATTTCTGCCCCACCCCGCCCCACACCCCACCCATCCATTCTGTCCTCTCCATTTCTCAAACACACTGTGCTCCTTCCACTGCCTGCCTTAACAAGAGGTGTGCATCACAAATAAAAGTTGACTTAGGTTTGTAGGACTGGACCCTGGGCGTTGCCAGAAAGAATGAATCTCCTTATAAATGTCAGGGACACTCCCCCTCTCCTTTATTTTGAATTTTAAAAATGCAGTGGAGGGAATCATTTATTGGGTATAAAACCTTGTAAAAATGGAAATAAGGGGCTTGAAGTGGAGGTAACCTGTAGGATCATGGTCTGTCTTTCTTCCTATGAGTTAGATGAAACCATGGTCTTACATAAGAAGGTTGTACAGAGTGTGTGTTTGTGTGTGTGTGCATGAGCAAGGTGTGTTCACAGGGATTCAGAGATGTGAAAAACTACATAGGGACCAAGGCTATCATTTTCTTTCTGTTTGAGCAGAGAGGGTGAGTAATTGAGAATGGGCTTAAGCATTTGCCCTCTCTCTATGGGGCCTCGTGGTGACCTTTGCCACGGGACCTAACTTTCGGGGTGCTACCTCCCCCAGCAGTCATGCAGTTTCACCAAGACCATACGAGAATCTCCTCTCCCATCAACTAAGTTAATTTCCAAGTAGTGGTCAAGCACGAGAAGGATGACCCTTACCTGTCACTGTAGGCAGCGGCAGTGGCAGGGGTAGGCTGGGCGTAGCGGTATGCAGCGTAACCACCCTAAAACACAAAGAGAAATGTGACTCAGGAATGCAGCGGAGCCCAACACAGGGACGCCCATTGGCAAGACCACACCAGAACAGCAGTTACCCAAATCTACTGACCTAAAGTTCAGGTTAATGAAAGCTTAGTATCAAAGCGAAAATACAAAAACACCCTGGAGAAACAAGGGGTGGAAGACCAACCCCAGCTGGATGTTAAAGGTTAGCGGTTATAAGCATCTCCCAAAAGGAGAGCCTAGAGGCCCTTGGGAGGAAATGTATTTAAATGTTAACGGTGATTGTCCTGGGGTGGGGGAGGATTATGGGGGATTATTTAAACACTCTTCATACTTGGCTGAACTTTCCAGATTTTCAACAATGATTCTGCTTTACCTCTATCAGATATCAACTTGAATTTTACTCAATTCCTATTTCCTTATAAAATAATCAAGTGAATATTTGCCTGTCTTTCACAGTTACTAAATCACATCACCCTTCGATTGACAGTTTATTAGCAATCTCTTATCTGGTTGATGAACCACTAATGTTATTGAAGAGTCTTTAGCTGTCTAAATGTTACACAACTATTACAAAAATGACAGAACATTTCTTCCTTTTGGCCACAGATCTCACACGGCTATGTATCATGCTGCTTCAGATGCAGAATTTGGTGTGGAAAATATGATAAAGTCTTCTAATTTGTAAATAAAATCATTAACAGAGAAAAAATCTGAAAAGAAAAATAACATTTAGTTGTATGTACCAGTAATTGCAATTGTTCAATTAAGCAAAGAAGATGAGCAAATAGGCATATTCAAAAGGAATTGTGTTCAGTGGAGCATTGATTATCAAACTGTGAAAATAACAGAGCTTCTGCTCAGTGGATGACAATGATACATCAAACACTGTACAATGATCTCAGCACAATTAACAAACAGGATCTAGTGTCCACTGATAACACAGGACCATCCAGGTTCTAATTAGAATATACAGTCACATAATTCTCTGAGGTAAGGGTTCTCACCAACACCATAAAGGGGTGAGTCGGGATAAAGTAGTGTGTCAGAGGTATGCAACGGCAGAATCATGAGAGGGAGAAGTAGGTTTGTTGCATGTGGCCTCATGAAACTAAGTAGTGCAGTAAGAAATAGATGAAGCAGGGAAGCTACAAAAAGCCTCTTACAAGACATAGGTAACCTGGTCTCCATTTCTTTCTGCCTCCTTCCAGCCACGGTTAACTTTCAGGGTAAATATGTTATCACTTGCATAGCAATTCAAAGAAATGACTTTATCTTTCACAATGTATTCTTTGGGTCAGTCCTGGAGAAGACACGTCCAAAACTGACAGGTAACCATCAATAATGTGGAGCCAGGTTTTTATTTTTAAAGCTTCCCTTTAAAAGAGAATGGAAGGTAACCACAAAAACAGGTCTTAGCCAGATGTCACCTGGTGTTCTAAATACTATGTCCTCCAAGTAGGAATGGGGAACACACTAAATGTGCTAAGGGAGGTATAAAACCAAAGCAGTTGTTTTAACATTACTGAGTCCAACAAATAGAATGATAGACTGAAGAGAAATCAGGTCGCCAGGTTTCTGTAGCCATTTTTCTATATGACTTGTTCATCTTCTTGACTTCCATGATGTGTACATGAAGATATAGATGTGCAGGTGCACATAATAATGAGGTAGGGAGGGGCTAGAGTTGGCTAGCTGATTTCTAGGAGACATGAGCTGCAACAGACTTAAAGCCCTGAGTGGAGAGAGTGTGTATGTGTGATATGTGTGCCCCTCTTACGAGACAGGCCTAGGTCATCAATGCCTTGACATCTGTCTTTATTATCTAGGAATTTGCTTGTGAGTATTCCTGATTCAAGGGTCAAGATCACAATTTGAAGTCTCCAGGGCCAGTGGAGAACTTTTTGACCTTGATCAGTGGTCTCACTGTCCAGTAGAACGCTTGAGATGACAGAAATGTTACGTATCTGTGCTATCCAACATCGTAGCTACTTCTAGTAAATGACTATTGAACTCCTGAAAGGTAACTGATGCAATGAATTAAATTTTAAATTTACTTTTCAGTTAATTTGAATTTAAATCTAAGTCACATTGGGGGCTGGTGGCTAAAGGACTGGACAGTCCCAGTCTAAATGATCCCTGAGATATGTAATAATTAGGGAAAATGGGATTAGTTGGTTTTATCTCTCCATCTCTATTGTGTAGTCTTCCTTCGCTATTTTTCTTCTGTATGCATTTCTTACTACAGAAGTAACAGAGTTGTGTATTAACTCAGTATGTGTGCGTACACTGTAAAATACAAATTGCTTTATATACAAAAAATACAAATTGCTGTAATTTGCCTTTCTAACAGGTGACTCTAATCAATCTTACTGCTCTGTATTTGGCAGCTCATTGAGCATAGCCAGAACTACTCCGAGGTTCCATGGCAATGTCTGTAAAAGGAACACTCACTTTCAGTTGCTGTCACCAGATCATGTTCATGTCGAACCTGGTCTTCCGAGATCATGACAAAAATGTGTCATTGACAATTAGAATTTTCACACCACCAAACCAAAGGAACAAGGCATGACAGGCACAAAATAGTTCTATACTCCTCATTCATGAAACATAATTTTTCCACATCATGGGCAGCAAAATATAAACGTGACCTTATCTAATATTTTCAAATGGCCATTACGGATCTTTTTGCCACCACCACCACCAAATGAGGCCACCAAAGTGACCCACTCGTGTGGACTGAGAAGTTTCCTTGGTTGGCAAAACCTCTAGAGGTCTCTTGAGGTAGTCACCCATTCAGGACCTCAAATGATGGTCTTTACCATTTCTTTTTTTATTACTACTAGAGATGGGGTCTCACTATGTGGCCTAGGCTGGTCTCAAACTCCTGAGATCAAGCGGTCTTCCCAATTCAGCCTCCCAAAGTACTGGGATGACAGGTGAAAGCCACTGTGCCCAGCGAATGAAACATTTTCAAAATTGTGCTTCTGGGACATTAGCAGCAAGGAAAGGAAAGTTTCCACAACCAAACCAGTTTGGTCGGATGCTCATTTAAAGTAAAAGTGTTTGTGGAACTCCCTGGGACAATACTCATGAACATTGTGGACCTCCAAGGCATCTTGGAGAATTTGAGGCTTAAATCAAAGTTTTCACTAATTTAGAGCATACTTTTGAAAACAGATGTTTTAGTGGCCACAGAGGAATGAGGGGAGGGGAAACCTCTTTGTACTAGTGGGGATGTGGGCATCTGTAGGACTGTAACATGTATGTGCTATGTGTGCTTCCTTCAGCTTGAGTGCATAGGAAAGTAGTAATCAGCTTAACCTGGGGTAGAGGCTCCCTGGTTACATTATTATACAAAAATATAAAAATATCCAAGCGTCAAGTCTTGCTTTGTGCAAAACAGGTATGTTGGTATACATACAACTTAAATCTTATTCACTGTAATATTAAAGAACATTTATAAAATGAAAATCTTAATGACTCCCTAATTTATCTGCATTATATAGTCGTTTTTTTTGAGACTGTCTTCCTCTGTCATCCAGGCTGGAGTGCAGTGGTGCAGTCTCAGCTCACTGCAGCCTCCGCCTCCCAGGTTCAGGCAATTCTCCTGCCTCAGCCTCCTAAGTAGCTGGGACTACAGGCGTGTGCCACCACACTGGGCTCACTTTTGTATTTTTAGTAGAGATAGGGTTTTGCCACCTAGGCCAGGCTGGTCTTTGAATGCCTGGTCTCAAGCAATCTGCCTGCCTTGGTCTCCCAAAGTACTGGGATTACAAGTGTGTGCCACTATGCCCAGCCACGTGCATCTATTTTTGAAGGGTAACAGTCAGAGGTCCAGTTCTCTTGAAATGTGACAATGAAAGTTTATCTCAGGAATTTTAACTATATTGCCCTTTAGTAGGTTAAAAGTACCTATTTCTCACATTCAGGTTTCAGTTACAACTCAATAAATTCTCATGGTTTAAAAGTACTTTCTTAACTCACTCTTAATACTGAAGAAAAAAAGGAATTGCAGTGATAGAGAAAGTAATGTCCTAAAACTCCCACTGATCATCCTCAGTTTCACATTCATCTCTTACTTTATTGGACAGTTTCAATGTCCTTGATAGACCAAATTAGGAGACTCTCAACCAGCCACATTCCAAAGAATGTTTTTCTCTTCCTACAAACATGTTCAGTTGGTGGTTGCTTCAGTAGTGAGAAATAGGTTTAAAATCTATAGCAATAGGTGTACAATAAATTTCAGATCAGCTCTAAAAAGACCAGGGAGGGTTATGTTAGAAATCAGGTATGCTGGCTCTTAATGCTGGATATATGAGATTTTTGATTTCACCATTCCAGTTCACTCTGGGAACCTACTAAAACATTACCCAGACAACTAGTTCAATCAGAACCTTGAATTCTTTTCTCTAGATTTATATTGATTGAGTCCAGATACCTTTTAAACTAAAAAATTAACAGCTAAGGTAGACCACAATTTTGACACTCAGGATCTAACGAAGTTCAGTGCCAAGGCCAACTACTATCCGTCATAAAACGGCACCCATATTTGGAAGAAACTACCACAACACGGTCAGTGGATACATCAAAAGATATGGGGATAGCCACCTCTATTCTAGGAGATTTCATATTAAAACTGGAAAATTCAGTTAAGTCTTTCCTCCTATGTTAGAGAACGATTCCCCTCCCCAGAATTATCTTGTTAGTAAGGATTTCACAGCAAACCCACAAATCATAGTGATGAGTTTCTCCACCAGTCGGGATTTCATACCTGCAGCAATTTATTGCCATACACAGGCTCTTGATACACTACTCTATAAGGAAACAGAAATGTAATGTTTTCAATGCAAAAATGAAATAAATAAAAGAGAATGCATAAGTCAGACAAATTCCAGAGCAATTCATTTACAAGTTTGCTTCTCTTACTTCACCAAGACTTGGGACTGACCCACCAAGCTGAAAGGGGCACTGTGCTTTGACAAACATTTTTAGTTGCAAATCTCTGCAATGGAGAGTATCAAAGAAGGTGGAGATGGGGATCAAACCACTTTGTGCTGTAACTTGTGTTCATTGCTAAAGAAGGAAAAGATAATTTCATGGCTTCTTACCTCGCAAAGCATATTCCAACAGTCCAAATTACCTATTTCAAATTTATCTCTTTAGCTCATGATTAGAATTTTCTGGAATATCTAAGCATTTAACAGCAATGCCTAATTATTTCAACCAACAGTAGAGCGAAAGTGGAATTTATGAGTTCATGAATTACACTTGCAGCGACAATAACTGCTTTTAATACTTTCAAACTAGAGAAACGGCATATGAGTGTGTGTACGTAAACTGGTGTTAATATACATGTCATCAAAATGCTATCATTTCATACAAATCTAGTACTGGCAAGGAAGGTCTCTGTAGAATCCTTGTACGGACTAAGATGTGGTTTTTGGAGGAAACAGTCATTCATGGGCAAGACTCATCTTTTTCATGTGAGTGGTCAGAGTTGGAAGTAAAATTCTCCAGTTCCAGGGCAGACACTGAGGTGGCTGAACACTTGAAGAGACTGAGGGATGTGCCCTATAAAGAGGCGTGTGCATACAGTATTTATTCTTAAACGGTCTGCCTTTCCTTTTCAGTTCAAATTTATTTCTTTAAGAGTCTAAGCTTATAGAGCTATGCCTGGTAAAGTTCTTGTTCCTCTCCCCTCCACCATCCCTTTACCTTCTAGTTCATTGCTTATGTCAATGTTTCCAGTACAAATATTCTCAGTAGCCTACCCACCCCATTGTGCTCCATTATTCTCTCACTTGTCTCCCGTCTTTCACTGTATTTTTCAAATTTTTCTCCACTAGAGCAATGACTTTAGTTTGTAGGCTCAGGGTTTAAGCAGTGAACTCAGTAGTCAGATCATGTGGGCTCAAGCCCCAGTGTCGGTGAAGATTTCTGGACATAATACTTTCTCTTTTTTGGGGGGAAAAAAGTTTTCTCTTCTGGGTCATACACCGTGGCTGTGACCTGGAATTCTAGCATTCTGGGAGGCCAAGGCATGTGGATCACTTGAGGTCAGGAGTTTGAGACTAGCCTGGCCAACATGGTGAAACCCCATCTCTACTAAGAATCCAAAAATTGGCCAGGTGTGGTGGTGCATGCCTGCAGTCTTGGCTATTTTTGGAGGCTGAGGCAGGAGAATCGCTTGAACCTGGGAGGCAGAGGTTGCAGTGAGCCGAGATCACGCCACTGCATTCCAGCCTGGGTGATATAGGGAGGCTCTGTCTCAAAAATAAAAAATAAAAAAAATTAAAATTCTTATCTGGAACAAGAGAAAAAATGGAGGTAATAAGATTCCTTGTTTCAAGGGCTGTGGTGAGCAGAGATGAGGTAATACAGGTAAAACAGTCAGCATCTGGTCTCTCCTGTTACAGACACAGCAGTCACTTAATTTCTCTGTGGACTTGCAGTCTCCACTATGGTGACTGTGAAGGGCAAACCGAATGCCAATCCTCAGCTGCCTCACACTGAAAGCAAGGTCTCGGGAAGAAAGACCAGGGGTTTCTATTTGAAGAATTCCTACTTTCCAGCTTTACATGTTTCGGAAGCTATGGACACTTCTCATTCTTGAGCTGAAACATCGGTGAAATGGGGATACCTCTGTTTTAAAACATATGGGTGGTAGAGTGACATGAATTCAGAAGTAACTGTATTTAGCCATGGTGGTAACCAGAACCTTGTTATACAGAATTTAGGAATGTTGGCAAAATGCTTGGGAATCCCAGGACATATTTACTAGGCAGCCCTCATGGATGCTTCTAATATTGGGACACTTGGGATGTTCTTAATAAAAAGGAACATGATTAACATTTATACTGTATATCACCTCTTTTCTGCTCTTGCTATTGCCAGACACCCCACTATCTTACTCCGGTTTCTATACATTTGTCCATTCTTTTTAACAGTTCATTATTTCTTTGTCACTCTTCACATTTGTAATATTAATAGGTATCTTTAGATCAAATGCCATATTCTGTGATCTCTCCCTGAGAAAGTCACTCAACAAAAGTCTTGGTTCAGTTCAGTTAAGCGATGCTTGTTTTCCACTCCGTGGTCAACTTCTGGCTTCATAAAACCTAGAGCTTCGAGGGTCAGGCATGGTTGCTGATGCCTGTAATCCTAGCAGTTTGCGCAGAGGCTAAGGCAGGTGGATCGCTTAAGGTCATGAGTTTGAGACATGACCTGGGCAACATGGCAAACTCTGTCTCTACTGAAATACGAAAATTAGCCAGGCGTGGTGGCAGGTGCCCATAATCACAGTTACTCAGGAGTCTGAGACTGGAGAGTCAATGGAACCCCAGAGGCCGAGGTTGCAGTGAGCTGAGATCGTGCTACTGCCCTCCAGCCTGGGTGACAGAGACTGTCTTGGAAAAAAAAAAAAATCTAGAGCTTCACTTTCAAATATGAGTGACTCTGTAGGTCTAAGAATCTTAATCCTTGTACTGCAACTGTTTGTATCACCTCTATTCCTTAGTTTGCTTAACTTGACCCACTTCTTAATTAAAATGAATTTAAAGGTATACCACTAGGCAATAATAGTGAACTGGTACATCTGATACATTTCATTATGAAAATTCCTATATTTTTATACAAGAGTGTGTGTGTTTTCTGTTCTGTTTTCTGGTGGAAGGGACTTGGGTACACACTTTTCCTATCCTCCTTTCTCAGACAACCCCCGCCCCCTGTCCTCTCTGATGAGTACCACCCACACTGTGCCTGAACCTCTCCACTGTGACCAGAGGCAGTGGCGTTCCTGCAGGGCTCAGCTCCTGAGCAGGATGAAGGCCTTTCCTTTGCCCTCTGCCCAAACGAGCTGTCCTGGTTTTTTTCCTTTGTGTCTGGCTCACAGCATTTCATAACAAGTCTATTCCCTTTGGCAATTTCAGGACATCTGTGATCATCTGTCCCTCTCTGCTCAATGCTCTCTCCTCTGAAAACTTTCAGAAGGAGGTCATTTGAGAGAGGAGGTTGTGGCTTGCCAGTTATGGGGATCATGCAGGTGTTTCAAAGCCTATGTGCTTTGGCAAAGCTAAAAAATGCCCCAGGGCTCCAAGATCAGTGGGTAGGGATGGAAAGACCTTGGAGAACAAAGGACAAGGGAGGGAGGGAGCAGGGTACCTAGAAAAGCCCAGTAGTTCTGAGATACGTGCTGCTGAGTTGTTGACCTGCTCTGATACACCGTCAGGGTGGAGAATATTTTGAGCAGGAAGAATCTGAGAGTGTCCTCCTTTGTCTTCCTTAGCAGTGACTGAAGCTAGAAACTTAGTATTCTATGCAATAAAATTAAAATGAAGAGGTTTATGGCTGGGCACGGTGGCTCATGTCTGTAATCCCACCACTTAGGGAGGCTGAGGCGGGTGGAGCACTGAGGTCAGGAATTTGAGACCACGCTGGCCAACACTGTGAAAGCTGTCTCTACTAAAAATAAAAAATTAGCTCGGAGTGGTGGCAGGTGCCTAGAATTCCAGCTACTCAGGAGGCTAAGTCAGAAGAATTGCTGCAGGGCAGGTGGAGAATTGCCAGCGGGGTGGAGGTTGCAGTGAGCTGAGATCGAACACTACACTCCAGCCTGGGTGCCTCAGTGAGACTTTGTCTCAAATAAAAAGCAGTTTAAACCTTTTAGAGGTGTCTGATGTGTCTAGCATATATCCCGGGGCCTCTCAGAATTCCCCAAAACCTATTTATTGTGTACTGTTTTTAATGAAACTCAAGTAGTAAGCCAAAATCTTTAAGGTAGAACTTCATATGACTTTCTAAGACTCTTTAACAAGAGTCTTTTAAAAACTAAGCCTGGGGGATATTTCCACTCATTGGAACATGCTGGTATCTCAAGGGAGGCAGGGGAGTGACTTGCAAAAGCACATTCAAGATTATGATATACTTCTAGCTAGGATGAATCTTGTTCTGTATATTCTGAAGTGCAGAACATAATTATATTTCTTTTCCTTAAATAAACTTAGGGTCATCAGTGACCTCTTGTTCTGCTGCTGAGGTGGGCAGTGGAGCAGGCTAGGTTCTTTCTGTCCCATATACACACACATATACCCTTGCAACAATCTTTTAGAGATAGGACAGAAATATGTGCTGGATAAACAAATCTCTAAATTCACACTGCAGAAACTTTTTCTGCCACCTGATTGCATATTTGATACTTCCCTCATGAAAAAATCTTACTATCATAATATAAAGAGAGAGGAAAATAAAGAAAAATTTTGGCTGGGGGTTATAGCCTGAAAAGTGAGAGAGGGGTGGTCTTATAAACAGAGACATCAGGCAACTTAGGACTGGAAGCATCTCTGTCCTGTGAAGTTCACCCAGGTGCTCACCCAGAACTGCACCACTAGACCCAGTGGGTTTGGCTCAAACATGATGAATGTGTGAGAAACAAAATCTAAAGGAACTAGAAAAGCACAAAGGGACATTTCTGTGGCTTTCTTCTCTGAGCCTATTTTCTTGTTCCTCTCTAGTCGAGAGGTTGACATATCCCTTCCTCTAACTTTGTGTTTTTTTCTGTTTGCCTAGCTCTGTGAATTTTCTGATGCAGCCCTATGCCCAATAGGTTTCTTCCTTATCTGTGGGAGCTCCACAGACCCTGCTTTCAGGCAGCCTCTCCTTCCTGCTGCTCAAGAATCTGAGGTCAGGAAAAGATGCCAATTTGAAATCTGCGTAAGAGACCACACATGAATGTTTCAATAAATTGTAAGTTTGAAGAAACAGAGGCAGGAAGGGTCGACACTCACTAAATGATTGTGAAATGATACTTTTAAAACTC